TCCTAGTTCAAAACTTTAGTTCAGATTCAATATACTGCTTTGATCTTCTATTCCTACTTCAGTGTACAAAACAAAGATTGCAATCCAGTGTTTGAACCTGGCATTATTAATTTCCTCTGTCTAATAATCCATTATTTTTGTGATTTTGGAATAAAAGGTATACAACAGTCATGCACATACTATGCTCCATTCACCCAAGATTAAATCAGTTGTGTGGTTTGGGTGCTGTGGGTTAATACACTAGACTGCAAGGTCAGTTTGAACTGCAGCTCAAACTCAGCAGTCACTCCTTGGAATCTCTATACACGGTCACTAGGACTCGGAACTGACTTGGAATCTCTATACACGGTCACTAGGACTCGGAACTGACTTGACAGCACTTAATGACAACAATGCTAGTTTGACTAGAAGTAACACTGATTTTACTACTTTGAAAAAACAACAACAACTCCTTATTGTGGTTTGAGTCAAAGTTAGCAGAGGACTTAGTTTTCCACTCAACAGTGTAGACTCATTTTGTTTTGTGACTGGTTGTAATCCCTACAATGTAACAGCATACTTTCCATTTCTATTCATGCTTCTTTCTTGTCCCTTCCTGCTATGTGAATTTTGTTTTGGGGAAAATGCTGCCCTTTTGGTCTTGTACAGCTGATAGTTCTGGTATTATAGTTTTACTTTATAGGCCTGCTTATTGGTGTGGCTGAAAGGCAATTATCTAGTGTGAGTTCAGTTCCAGGATAGAAGGTTTTATAAGGTACATGCTCTCAGAGGTTCCAACAGTCTCAACGAGACCATAAGTATGTCTGATCTTTTCTGATTTTTTCTTTTATGTGCTTTCTACCACTCTATCCAGGGCCTCCTATTTTGATCCCGAGTGGTTGGCAGTGGTAGCCTGGCACCATCTAGCTCTTGATTACTTCTTAATTGTCTTGTTTTTGTTTTAATTTAGTTTTCTTTTTATTTGTCACTATTGACTATTTACTCACTCAAGGCATCAACAGACTCTTAAGATTCTCCTAATAACTTTAATCTCCCCTCCTGGATCTTTGACTTTTCATATATCTTCTTTATGCAAGATCCCATTCAATGTCCTACTTTTAGTTTTCAGTAACATGTGTTAAATCCTAAATTTGTACCTGCACCCCAGATTTCTCTGCAGTGAAATCCTGATCTCTCTGCCTTGTTGGTTCAGTAGTAGCTCTCAATTCTCAATCTTTGGAAGAGGCATCACCCATCACTTAAAGTCAGCCAACCAGAAATCTGCCAATAATCCTAGATAATTGTTTCTCACTGCTCATCTATTTGTTGTTGTTGAGTGGATTTTTGAGTCACACAACCCAATAATGGCCAATTGGCAACATTGATGGACTCAAGCGTGGCAACAGTAGTGAGGTTGCCCCAGGATCGGGCAGTGTTTCATTCTGCTGTGCGTAAGGTCACTATGAGTCGGTACCGACTAGATGGCACCTAACAACAACAACAACATTTGTGGGAGTAGATTGCCAGGGTTTTCCTCTACAGAGTCACTGGGTGAATTCAAACCATTAACCTTCCAATTAATAACAGAATCTTTCATTACTGTGAATTACTAAATCCCAAACCGCTCTCTCACTTAACCTTCTTTGTAACTGTCTGGGTTTGGATCCTTGTAGATTCTTGTCTGGACTAGTAGCCTCAATCGGTTGTAATCGGTGCATTTCTTTTTCAGTACCTAATCATCTTCCTCAGTAGCATCAGAATAACTAACAAAAAATACAAGCTCTTGTGCTTGGGGAATAAAAAAAAAATAACAGTGGGACATAACTTGTATCTACACCCTGCTCTTTCCTGCCAAACCCTAAGTAGTTCTCAAATGTTCCATGCTATTTTACATGGGTATGCCTTTTTACTACTTAAGACACATTTCATAGCCAGATTGGGTGTGGGGGAAAAACATGCAATACAGCAAATTAATACATGTGAACCATTTCTGTGATTTTTCCAAAAGGAGGTCATTTCAATTTTTTGTTCATTGCTTCAACACCCTAAAGTTTTAAAGTCGAATATTACCCATAACTTTAAAAGGAAAAATGTGAGTTGAGTATAAGTATTTTGGATATATATCAGCCATTTAAAATGGGAGGGCTTTTTCCTTTCTCTTTTAAAATTCTATTGTGTACTGGGTGAAGTTTACAGGGCAAGTCAGTTTTCCATTCAACGTATCACTTACATTTTGTTTCACATCACGGACTGCAATCCCCACAACGCCACATCACCTTTTCCACTCCCTCTTGGCATTTTGTTGACACTTCACCTTCTTTCATACCCCTTCCTACCTTCGAAATGTTGTCCTTGAACAAATGCTGCCTCCTTTTGAGCTCAAATGGTTGATTAGTCTAAGGAGTGCATGTCTTATTGTTCATCTTATACACCTGTTTACTTGTTGGTTTAATATTGCGTCCTAAGAGTGAATTCCGTTCCAGCCTGAAAGATGACATAGGGCCATACTTTCAGAGTTTCCACTAGTCTGTTTCGTTCTGCTGTGCATAAGTTTGCTATGGGTCGGTACCGACTCGATGGCACCTAACAACAACAACAATCAGTGTCTATCCAACCAGTAAGCTTGATCTTTTTTATGATTTGAGTTTTGTTCCACATTTTTCTCCTACTTTGTCCAGGGCCTTTCTAAAGTGACCCCTTTCAGAGTGGTTGGAAGTGGTAGATGACCATTCTGGTCTCAAGGTCATGGAGGCTCATAAGTTTGACCCATCAGTCCAATGGACTCATTATTTCCATAAATCTTTAATGTCCTTCACTCATCTTTGCTCTGACACAGAGAGATTAATAGTTGCACCTTAAGTAACTACTCACCAGCTTTCAAGACCCTAGTTATTACTGACCAAAATAGGATATAGAACATTGACTTTTTGGACAATTTCATGTTAATTTATCTTGCTGTCACCTGAGACTGTTTCTGAGCTCCCAGGCTAAGAAACTCATTCCTTCACGGTGTTCTGTTTACAGCTAATAATTCTCATAATTTTGACCCCTGTATTCATGGATATTTTTGCAGCATAAGTAAATAAGTATGTAGAAATATCCTCTGCCAAACCTATATATATATATAAGTGTGGATATAGTCTCATTCTCCTCACACCTGGTCAGCTTGTGTGTCCACCTATGCATCCACTGGTAGATTGTTATTTCAGGACGTATATATAAAATGGTGTTTACCTCTGTTGCCTTTAACTCTAGTATTCCTCTCAGTTTCTTGCTTTGTCAAATGTTAGAGTTAAATAAATAGGTTCCTCTTTATAACACTGTTTTAGAAAAACTATCCACACTGGGATACAGAAGAACTTTGTACTATACCTTTGCATTTTATCTAAATATTCTCTTACATATATTTCTCTGACTAGTCTTATGCTTCTGAAAAGTCTTGAGTTTTACTTTTTTTTCTATCTCCAGAACCCAGCTTAAAGTCTTAAAGTATCAATACAATGTACATAATAAATTTTAGGTCTTTGAATCAACAAAAGCATAAAACAAAACTAATTCTAAAACTGAATTCATGAAACAACATGAAATAATTTTACTAAAATGCTTTAAAACCAAGGTACTCAAAAATTTTGCTTCAATGCTTTAAAAACCAAGGCATTCAAAAACATCAACATTAACTGAAATAGCTAGCTTGGTGCTTTTAAAACATTCAGTTTTCAAATCTACATTTGATAGAGCAAGGTTACTGATAATATTTAAAATTGGGAAGCTCCAATGACTGGAGGTTGGTGCAAGACCAGACAGTGTTTCGTTCTGTTATGCATAAGGTCTCCAACTGACTCAACGGCACCAACACCAACTTAACAAATTGGGAAGCTCATCAACTAGGCATCCATAAAAGACAATTTTAAAAAGAAAATACTAACACATCTTAATAACCAACAAATGGCCCTGGTCAGTAGAGTTCTCATTTTTCCATGAGGTAAACCTATTTTAGGAGATCTGGTGGTGTGCAATGATTAAAGAGCTTAGCTGCTAACCAAAAGGTAGGTGGTTCAAACCCACTAGCTGCTCTGAGGGAGTAAGATGAGACAGTCTGCTTTTTCAAAGATTTATAGCTTTGGAAACCCTATGGGGCAGTTGTTCTCAGTCCTACGCTGTCATTGTGAGTCAGAATTGACTCAGTGGCAGTAGGTTTTATTTGGGTACACATATTTTAAAAAAGAAAATTCATTTAGAATGACAGAGCACTATTTCTGTCATTGTTGTTGTTTGTTTCTGTTGAGTGGATTCTGACTCGTGGCGACCCTGTGTGTGCAAACTAGAACTGCTCTGCACGGTTTTCAAGGCTATTACCTTTCAGAAGTAGATTACCAGGCATGCCTTCTGAGGTACCTCCAGGTAGGTTTGAACTGCCAACCTTTAGCTAGCAGTTGAGCACTTAACTGTTTGTGCCACTTAGAGACTATTTCTGTCAACATGTTGTTGCTGTTAAGTCAAGTCAGTTCCAACCCACGGCCTGCCAATATATCAGACCAGCCAACGTTAAAAAAAGATCTGCTATTATGAAAACAATACAAGACACATGAGAATCACTATGGAAGAAATCAGAGCAGTAACTATGGTCCTTTGTTTTCTCTTCTCAATTTCAATTGTTGCAAAAAATTCATTTCAATCTCGTGTAAACTGCCCACTTGCTAATAAAATTCAAAAATATTTACTTTATTTAAATGCTTTCTAATACCATTTATACCACATAAACCTCAAATATTATGTATCAAAGACTGGATTATAAAAGTAAACTTGGCCAAACTTTTTCAAAGCCCAAAATTTATCCAGAAGGAATTCTACATTTTGCCAGAAGACACTGAGCTGAACACGATTACAATAAAATACCAACAGAAACGCATGTCAGCAAGTTCATGCTAAACATCTGTGTTACATTTCCATAGCAGAATGCCTCACATACACATTATATACTGCCATAAATCAAAACTGTAAAGGCAAAAATAAAAACTTACAGCTCCTTTGCAGTAAAGTCGTAACTTCCCGGATGGAGTGCGAACAATCACGGACATTCTTTTTCTAGAGCTGAAAGAAAGCAGTTTTCCATAATGTGGCATCGTACTGAGAATATGCACATATACGTTGGTCATGCCTCAAGTATTTTAATACTCACTGTGAAAAAATAAATTTGATCAGATTATGAGCCCTACACTTCCCCATTAACAATCTATCTCCTGGGTGTACAGTTGGGTACCTTTGAAAGTTACATTGTGTTTTTTAAGGCACCAGGGTACCATCCACTGCCATGAAAGAGTAATTTATAGAATGGCTCCCTAGAAACCTACAAGGGTTAAGACCCACCAGGGTAGACTAGCATTCTGGTTCAATGCTCAGATTTGTTAAATATGCAAGCTAATATCTTAAGAGATGGCTTGTATGTCACTGCTTTTATTAAAAACAAAAATGACAACTAACTTTAAGTACATATTCAATAACACAAAATGGCAAAATTAGTAGACAATATAAGCATTTACAACTTTTTTTTTAAAGTGATTACTAACAAACTACCATCACACAAAAATATAATTTATACTGGCAGAGTTAAGCTAATAAGGAAAATATTTTAACATTGGTGATATAAGCTGATTAAAAAAACACACAAATACATAACACCTAGCAAAAAGGCAGCAAATAACACTTAAGAGACCCAGAACACAGGGTTTCACTCAGAAACACATATGTATAAGCATTCTCTCCAGAACTGGGGGGGGGGGGGGGGGGGCTTGGCAAGTGTCTGCATGTTTTTTTAACTTGACGATCAACATTTATGTTTTACACCTTCTAACTTTCTGCTGCTACTGAACTGAGATGAATCTAAAACACAGCAGCAGTCAGATCTGGTAGCATCCCATACAACCAGCAATTTCCTACAGATAGAGCTAGAAATATTTAAGTTCCTTCTTCCTCCATCTAGACTTCCTATCATTAATCTCCCAGGGGCCTCTCAGAGCATACAAGTAAAGAAAATAGTGTTTAAATTTTAAGTTGGACAGACCGCATTACTTCTATAATGAGCCACTGGAACATGGTCACTCCAACCAGGACAGCATCTAAAGTTGGCACAGAAAAAGAAATGCCTCTCCTAGCCAGGGCACAAGTTTGTCTTATATAGGAGAAAGGTCAAAGAGAAAAGGCAGATACTTAATTGTCTAGAGTAAAAGCAATATTTCCAGGTGATGCCCTTGAAGATATATTGAAATGTCTTACCAGTGATGATGGAATCCTGCTGTGGTGCTGTAGGATAAACACTGGACTGATAACCACAAGGTCAGAAGTTCAAACCCACCAGATGCTCCTGGGAAACCCTATATAGGGTCTCTATGAGTAGGAACCGACTAGATGGACTAGGAGGTCTGGTAGTATAGTGGTTACAAGCTGGGCTGCTAACCTCAAGGTTAGCAGTTCGAAACTACCAGCTGTTCCATGAAGAGATGGAAAGCTTTCTGCTCCTGTAAAGACTTATAGCCTCAGAAACCTTATACAGGGTCACTATGAGTTGGAACAGATCCATGGTGCATAACCAGCCAGACAACCAAATGACACTTAACAACAACAACATATCAATCTTTAAAGACCCTTTAGCCCATAACTGAAGTCTACTTGCTAAAAATGTAAGAAATATGAGAAACAACATGGTAATGCAGGAATCGAAAGCAAAAAACTCAGGTACACCACTGATTACAACAAAGGACTCTATAATTTGACCATAAGGAATAAAGTCAGTAGAATCATCACTGTGTTCTATGCTCTTCCCTGTTGTTGTTAAGTGCCGTCGAGTCGGTTCCAACCCATAGTGACCCTGTACAGGGTTTCCGAAGCTGTAAATTTTTATGGGAGCAGAAAGCCTCATCTTTCTCCCACGGAGCAGCTGGTAGTTTCGAACTGCTGACCTTGCGGTTCACAGCCCAATTCGTAACCACTACGCTACCAGAGCTGGTCTTACATCTAATGTTGTTATTGTTAGTACACATATATTTAGATTCATAGTGCCCCCATATGACAATAGACCTGTCCCATAAGGTTTTCTGAGCTGTAATCTTTATGAGCGTAAACAGTCAGTTCTTTCTCCCATTGAGCTTCTGGGTGAGTTTAAGCAGCAATTAGTAGCAAGTGTTCAACCACCAGGATTCCTTTCATACTCAACAGATATGAATATGAATATCAAAACTCCCAAAGACCATTAAAAAAAAGGAGCACATAATTACGAGGGTAAATAAAAAATTATCTTGGACTGTGGCTGTAGAATTTATTTTAATCAAGTTTTAGAAAAGACAAATACATCATTTTTTTGACATAATCTCCTGGCTTTTCAATATACTTTGTCCATCTGTCAACAAGCTTTTGTATTCCCATCTTAAAAAAATGTTTTAGGCTGCTCTGTGAGCCACGAATGCACTGCTGTTTTCACTTCTTCATCAGAGGTGCTTTAAGGGAACCAAACAGGTTTTTTTCTTGGTCAGTTTTCTGACGGTACATGGCAGAGTACAGAATGGAAACATCTTCAATAGCTGACCAAGAAACAGTTCAAAAGTCAACCATCAGGTGGAAAATTGATGCTGACCATTTTCTAGGATTCTCAAGGACCAGTACTGGAACACTATCAGGAAAAAGGTTCAATAATCAACAGTGCTCGTTACACTGAGATGCTCATTGAAGAGCTGAAGCCTAGACTTCTGATTAAACGCAGAGGAGTGCTATCCAAGGGTGTTGATATCTTGCACGAGAATGCATGTCTGCATATCTCTGCTCACACTACTGACACTCTGTGAAATCTTCATTTTGAGGTGTTAAAGCATCCTCCCTATAGTCCTGATGTTGCTCCATTGGTAAGTCAGTTAAGTCCCCTGAAAGCAGCTCTTTGAGGACTAAGATTCACCTCTGATGAAGAAGTGAAGACAGCAATGCATTTGTGGCTTGCAGCTCAGCCTAAAACATTTTTTAATATGGAAATACGAAAGCATGTTGATGGATGGACAAAGTATCTTGAAAAGCAAGGAGACTATGTAGAAAAATGATGTATTTGTCTTTTCTAGAAGTTGATTAAAATAAATTCTACAGCCAGAGTGTGGATAATTTTTGACTCACCCTCATAGAGGGTGCATTTCTTACTGATTCAGATTTATTTCACATAAATATTGATGCCTGTAACAGTGCTTCCCGACCACTAGCCTTAAGATTCCTGGTCTTATATCCTACCTAATGCTGTGGTATAGACAATTATATCACCAAAAAAAAAAAAAAAAATATATATATATATATATATATATCACACTGTCTTCAGCAGTAATGCAACACTCTGAAGAAAGTTGTTTATGACTCAGATACAGATATACCAATTGAAAAATGGAGTTATTTTAATATTTCATTTCAATACATTTGTTTAAATAAAAGCAAATATACCATATAGTTATTTAAAAGGGAAAAACAGATAAAAATTTGTCTTCTGAATATAAATCACAAAGCAGGTATTTTACCTGGTAAACTCCAGGACATTAAGCAGTTCATATCTTTCTTCCTGCCCCAGCTGTGAAAGAAAGGAATACATGACCACAAAGCATTGGAAAGATCTTAGCCTTCCCAGAAGTAAACTCTAATCAAGAAGATTTAATGAAAACAATGTCAATACAAAATTTCCCTTATGAAATTTTCTGTACATCATCTTTAACTCAATTTACTAGCCTCCTGATTAAGATGGAATATTGAAAATGCGTATCTAATTTCTGTTGCTCCTAAGCCTCACTGAAATGACAATACACCAATTAGAAATGAAGAAAGAAAGATATCCATAAAGTCAAGGAAAGTAAGAGAAAAGGCAATAACAACATAAATTTGGAACCTAGAAAATAGATCATTCCATGGTAACTGGCTTAGCAGAATGAAGAAAACCAAATCCTACACTTTGTTGCTGTTGTCAGTTGCTGTGGAGTCAATTCCTATTCATGGTGACTCTGTGAGTGCAAAGTTTGTAAGACTGTGTCCTTTCAAAAGTAGATTTCCAGGTCAGTCTTCCTAGGTGCTCCGGGTAGGTTTCAACTGCCAGCCTTCCAGTTTCTTAGTCAGGTGTTTATGGGAAATCTAAGAACCAACTCAATTTGCATCAGAAAATCAACCAACAAATTAAAGAAGTGGAATTAAGGTAGCTCTATGCAGTGCAGTGAGTTACTTCATATGGCTTTTCTATCCATAGTCCTCGTAACTCTTACCAAATGACGTTTTTATCCTACTAGGTCTGGGTAACAGAAGGTAGGAAATGATGCTGACAAGATTATATGCTTCAGTCGAGAATGATTATTAACAGTTAATTGTGACTGTAAATAAAGACTTGGAACTCTAAAATGGAAACAAAATGAGTCATCTCAGCAGCAGGAGGAGAGATCTCAGAATCATCGAAGAAGAGCCAAGCGTGGAGCGTGTCCTTTGGACCCCTAGATCCCTGTGCAATGAACCTTTTGAGGAGCAGCAACAGCAAAACCAAGAGCCAGAGCATGAGACAGGGTGGTGGGCTACTAGTTAATGGAGCAAGTAAAGCTGAGTGTCTTTGGGCAGGAGGCGTGCTGGCAAAGTGGAGTGCCTCTGGGCACTGAGGTGTTGGGCTTACAAATCATGGGGCTAGAGCCAAGTGCCTTCAGGCCAAGGTTTCTAGTGAAGTGGTATTTATCAGTATCCCTAAGAGAACATTAGCTGTGTTTTAGATGGTTCCTTTTAGCTTTTAAGACTGCAAAACTACTCCACCAAACTTGGATGAAGAATATTATTTTTATGAACCAAGTTATGTCAATTGACCACCACTCATCTGTCAGTTTGTTGTATTATGGTAGCTTATGTGTTGCTATGATGCTGAACGATATGCCACTGATATTTAAATACCAGCAGGGTCACCCTTGATGGACATGTTTCAGAAAAGCTTCAAACTAAGGCAGAATAGTAAGTAGAAGAAAAGGAGGGCCACTCCTGGTTGTTGTTGTTAGGTGCCAGCGACTCACAGCAACTCTGTATAGGGTTTCCGAGGAGTGGCTGGTGAGCTTGAACCGCGACCTTGCAGTTCAAACCAACTTTACAATCCAATGAATTAAGCCACAGCACCACACCAGGACTCCCGAATGGTTAGCCATTGACAAACTTATGGTGGTGGAGGTGGCTGTGTGCCACCAAGTTGGTTCTGACATGTAGTGCGACCTTATATAAGAGTTTCCAAGGCTGTAAACCTTTATGGGAGCAGAATGCCTCATCTTTCTCCTCAGGAGTGCCTGGTAGATTTGAGCTATTGATCTTTCTTCAACAAGAAATTGATCAAACATACAATGAAGATGCACTGATAATTACTGATGACTGGAAGTCAAAAGCTGGAAACAAAGGATTGTTGTTGCTGTTGTTAAGTACCACGGAGTTGGTTCCAACTCATAGTGACCCTGCACATGGCTTCTGAGGCTACAAGTCTTTACAGGAGCAGAAAGCCTCATCTTTCTCCCACAGAACAGCTGGTAGTTTCGAACTGCCAACCTTGAGGTTAGCAACCCGATTCGTAACCACTATGCCACCAGAGTTGGAAAATATGGCCTTGGTGATACAAATTATGCTGAAGATCGCATGATAGAATTTTTCAAGACCAACACCTGTTGTGTTGTTCTTAAGAGCCATCGAGTCCATTCTGACTCATAGCAACTCTCAATAAGGGTTTCTGAGGAGCAGCTTGTGGGTCTGAACCACCAATCTTGTGGTTTGAAATCTAGTGTTTATCCTACAGTGCCACAATTTATTCATTGCAAATACCTTTCCTCAACAATATAAAGGCAAACTGAAAATGTGGATCTTGCCAGATGGTATATAAAGGAATCAGACTGACTACATCTGTTGGAAGAGACAATGGAGAAGCTCAGTATCATCAGATGAAACAAGGTTAAAGGGCCAACTGTGGAACAGATAAGCAATTGCTCATATACAAGTCAGAGTGAAGCTGAAGAAAATGACAATGAGTCCAAAAGAGCCAAAATATGACCTTGAGTATATCCTACCTGAATTTAGAGACCATGTTAAAACATATTTGATGCATTAGACACTAATGACAAGACCAGAAGAGTTGTGGGATGATAACAACATGATACATGAAGAAAGCAAAAGGTCATTAAAAAGAAAAGACCAAATTGGATGACAGCAGAGACACTGAAGCTTACTCTTGAACATAAAGAAACTAAAGCCACTGGGAAAAAATGAGGAAATAAAGTGCCAAACAGAACATTTCAAAGCGCAGTTTGAGAAGACAAAGTACAGTACTATAATGAAATGTGCAAAAACTTGGCTTCAGAAAATCAAAAATAAAGGTGGAAGAACTGAAGAAAAAAATTCAAGTCTCTATTTGAATTACTGAAGGATTATATTAATACTGAATGATTAAGGAAGCGCTGGAAGAAGATTGACGGAAACACAGAATCACTATACCAAAAATAACCCGTCTATGTATCCAAGAGATACTATATGGTCACGAACTGATAGTATTGAAGAAGATATCCAAGCTGCACTGAGGCACTGGAAAACCCAAGGCTCCAGGAATTGAGGAAATGAAAACTGAAAAGGTTCACCAAATGAATGCAGGCACTCACTCATCTACATCGAGAAATTTGGAAGGCAGCTACTAGCCAATAAATTGGAAAAGATACACATTTGTGACCACTGCAGAAAGGTGACCCATTGGAATGCAGAAATCAATACACAACAGCATTCATGTTACGTGCAAGTAAAATGTTGAAGATAATTAGAAAATGGTTACAGCAATACATTCACAGGAAGCTGCCAGAAATTTAAGCCTGATTCTGAAGAAGACAAGGAGTAAGGGATATGACTGCTGACATCAGATGGATCTCAGCTAAAGCAGACGATACCAGAGTTTTTTACTTGTGCTTTATTGACTATGCACAGGTATTTGACTTTGTGGATCATAATGAACTGTGGATAATATTTCCAAGAATGGAACACGCACATATATCAAGAAGCAGCCGTTTGAACCGAACAAGGGGATACTGAATGGTTTCAAATCAGGAAAAATGTTGCACCAGGGTTGCATCCTTTAACCATACTTATTCCGTCTGCATGCTGAGCAAATAATCCAAGAAGATGAATTATATGAAGAACATGGCACCAGGATTGTAGGAAGACTCATTACCAGTCAGTGATATGCAGATGACAAAACCTTGCTTGCAAAGAGGACTTAAAATACTTACTAAAGAAGATCAAAGAATACAGCCTTCAGTTTGGACTGCACCTCAATGTCAAGAAAGCAACAATCCTTACAGCTGGATCATGATAAATGGAGAAAAGATTGAAGTTGTCAAATACTTCATCTTGCTTGGTTCCATAATCAACATTCATGGAAGAAGGAGTAAAGAAATCAAACAACGTATCGCATTAGTCAAATCTGCTGCAAATGACCTCTTTAAAGAAGTGTTAGAGAACAAAGAGCTCAGTTTGAGAACTAAGATGCCCCTGACCTAGCCATGGTATTTTCTATCACCTCATATTCATGTGGAAGTTTTATAGTTAATAAGGATGACCATAGAAGGACTGACTCATTTGAATTATAATGTTTTGAAGAACAGGGAAATTTCCATGGATTGCCAGATGAACAACCAAATCTGTCTTGGAAGAAGTACAAACAGAATGCTCCTGAGACATCAGGATGGCAAGACTCTGTCTTTCATTATTTGGACATTTTGTCAGAAAGGATCAGTCCCTAGTTGCTAAAGTGGAGGATCAACGATAAAGAGGTAGACCCTTAACAAGATGGGCTAACACAGTGACAGCAAAATTTGCCTCAAACTTAATTGTGAGGAGGATGCAGGACTGGGCAGTGTTCCGTTCTGTTGTTTATACGGTAGTTATGAGGCAGAACAAACTTGATGGCACCTACCAACAAAAACACCAATATGCCGACTGAACTAGTTGAACCACAAGATTATGGTCCTGAGTCTTTAAACCCAGTATATAAATCTCATGAGGTGTTTGCATACTTGCAGTTACGTATCCATAACTGTGCTATCTATATTTATTATTATACATGTGAATATCTATGTAGCACATACAAATATCTATGTACATATGCCCACAAACACATCTATTATACACATGTGCTTTCATAAGCCTTAACACACCCATGTAGCATACATGTCTACCTGCGTAATCACCCACATATTTTTTGCTGTTTATTACTGTTGTTTTAAAATTACAGAAGTTATAGCATTCACCACAATTGTCTTTTATTCTTGCATACTTCTCTGTAGTTGCTCTACATACTCATTAATATTAGGTGCTGTAGATGTTTTAATTTTAGCCCTTTTGGTGATGTATAGTAGTATTTTGTTCTGGTTTTAATTTACATTTGTCTGATGACTACTTAGGATTTTCACATACTAACTGACCATTCGAAATCCTAGTATTGCACTGTAGGATAAACACTGGACTAGTGAGCAGCTCCTCTGAAACCCTATACAGGGTCGCTGTGAGTAGTAACTGACTTGATGGCACTTACCAACACCTACCCATGCATATATCTTCTTTTGTAAAGTTTTTGCTCATTTTAAAATAGGATGTAACGACTTGTTTAACCAAATAGTGTAATATAATATTGTGACTATCTAAAATGAAACCCATTGTCATCAATTCAATTCTGACTCTTGGTGACCCTGAAGGACAAAGTAGAACTACTCCATAGCATTTCCAAGATTATAAATCTTTAGGGAATCAGAGTATTTCATCTGTCTCTGGCAGAGTGGTTGGTAGAACTGCAAAACACTGATCTTTAGGTTAGCAGTCCAACATTAAATTTGTTGCACATGGGAGGCAAAAACAAATAGGGTGGCAATAAAGTAAAGAAAGTCATTGCCGTTATTGTTAATAGGTGCTATCAAGTTGGTTCCAATTTACAGTGACCCTGTATAGGGTTTTTGAAGAGAGGCTGATGGTTTGAACCACCAACCTTGCGGTTAACAGTCCAAAGTTTATCCTGCATATTTTTATTGTTGTTGTTAAGTGCCATTAAATAAGTTTTGACTCAAAGTGACCCTGTATAGGGTTTTCTAGGAGTCTTGCTGGGTTTGAACCAAGTTTGCAGTCCAGTGCTGATCCTACAGCGCCACACCAGGACTCTATCATACAGATTACATACACCTAAAATTGAAGAATCAAAACAATTAACATTAATCACATATTTTTAGAAAATCTGAGATGTGTAAATGAATAACTAAAGAAATAGCTAGAGAAACTGGAGTAAGTAATCTCTATTTTATTATGAATCCTTTAGTATTTTTTATTTTTACTTTAAGGCTACCCATATGTATTATTTTGATTAAAAAGAAACTTTAAAATAAATGACTTACTGAATCTATAATCACTGAGTCTGGTGTTCTTCCAGTGAAAGCAAAATTCAACTGCTTGGCAGCTCTGACTAAGGCGCCTTCATCTATTTTAGGAAAACAAGCAAAAGCAAATGCATGAGGAAAAAATTATTCAAGACACAAAAGAAATATATTGATACAATATACTTTTTGGTTTAATTTAAATTCTTTTTAATTCAAATCTGCTTTTGAATTATATTAAGAAGCCAAAGGAATGAGTAAAATACAAAATATAGGACAATTTTAAGTGTTTGAGACAGAGATCCCAGAGTCATATTTCTGAATACTAAGTTTCACTGTTAGGCCCACACACCTAAAAAAATGATTATTTAAATGTACTCATTGGTTTTCCATATTCTCTAAAAAGCTCTCACAAAATGTAACAGCATAAAATCTTTCTTAAATTTTACTTTTTCCTCTATAAAGCTAAATGTTGAAAAACTAATGTTGCTAATGATGGATTCAAATTGTGTGGGTTTAAACAAACTGATGTTTTAAAAAATGATACACTAATTAGTTTTCTAACCATCTTGTAACAAACCTTTTCCTTGCTCACAGGAGAGAAAACATCCACATGGTGTCTATCCTAGCAATGTGAGACACAACAGCTCTCAAGCCTTTTAAATATTTGGTACATATTGCAAGGTCAGCGCTTCAAACCCACCAGCTGCTCCTTAGAAATCCTATGCAGGGTCACTGTGAATCAGAACCAACTTGCCTGCACTTAACAACAACAAACTAGGTCACAGATGCTAGTTTAGATTAAAATACTTATTTATTATAACTATTTGTAAAAAAGGCTCTCCAAAAGTTATTCCTTTTTTCCTAAAATTTTTAAATCACCAAATAGATTACTTACTCAATTTTACACTGAAAATAGGTATAAAATTAAGCCTTAATATTAAATATTATAAATTTTCTAATAAATATTTATGCAACCACTTCCCTGCCCATATAAGTACTTCCCTACCAAAAATGTACTTTCTTATATACATATAGAAGTTTTTCTCTTTATAAATAAATAGGTGTAAAATAGTTGTCATAAATTAAAAAACAAAAAAAAAAAACCAAAAAACCCATATTACCATTTCCAAAAAAAAAGAAGGCAAAACTGAGGTTATAAATCTATATACAGTCACTATTGTTAGGAGGCTTGGCAGTGCAGTGACTACGAGCTGGGCTGCTAACCGCAAGGTCAACAGTTCGAATCTACCAGTCGCTCGGCAGGAAAAAGATGAGACTTGCCGTTCTCCTACAACAGACAGCCTCAGAAACCCTATGAGTTGGAACTGACTCCATAGCACATGACGACCACCACCATTGTTAGGCAAATCTTCCTAAGAGATTTTCTTGACAATTAATTTATGACAACTAATTTTATAACTATTCATTTATAAATAGGTGTAAAATTTATATGTATTTAATTTATTTAATGTAAAATTTATATGTATATAAGAAAGTACATTTTTTCACTTGTATAAATTTGGTTTAAATTTGTATTCAAACATCCATGTAAATTAAGCATATACATAAAAGTTACATCATACAAAGTTATGTATTTTGACATATATGAATTTCAATCCTGAAAGCCAAGGTTTTTCAATTAGTAATTAAAATTTTTATCTAAAATCACTGTTTGGTTATTTTAAATTTTCAAATGAAGTTGATTTCGTTCCCTTTGTTGTTGCTGTTAAGTGCCATCAAGTAGGTTCCGACTCATATGATCCGACGAGCAGCTGGTGAGTTTGAATTACTTACCTTGTGGTTCAAACCGACCTTGCAATCCGTGCTTTATCCCACAGCGCCACACCCGGACTCCTTTCCCTAGACAATCCTAAATCTTAGAACATTTTTCCACAGAAAAAGTACTTCATAATGGTTGTATTTGTACCTGGAGATGCTGCTTGATAAATAATCTTATCACCTTCTCGTTCTGGTACTGCTGTATGACAGACTGCCATCATTGTAAGAAATTCACATATTATAGGAGCAGTTGGCTGTACAGAGATAAGCATTTACTTTAGAAATTTTCATTTAAACATTTGACATTAATAACAGCGATACCACTTCATGGTTATCTACTAAGACGGTAGTTGTTAAGAGTTCAGAGGTACGGATTTATAGACAAATATATCCCAAGGTCAGCAGTTCAAACTCACCAATCACTCCTAGGAAGATCACTATGAGTCAGAACTGACTTAACAGTACCTTAATAGCAACACGAAAAAGTCAAAACTAACTATGAAGAAGAAATATTTTAAATTCAAATCACATATTCTCAGTGTCTCATTCACTCTTTAAACATGGATATGAGACTACTTCATGTTGTTATATAGAGATACACAGTAAAAAAGGCAAACCTAATGAAACACTGCATGCAGAGGACAGTGAGAAATTCCAAAACGGTAGTTTAACTGGTTGTTAACCAAAAGGTTGGCAGTGTGAGCTCAGCCAGTGGATCCATGAGAGAAAGACCTGGCAAAGTGCTCCTGGGAAGACTGCTGTGGTTGTTGTTGTTAGGTAACATCCAGTCAGTTTCAACTCCTAACAACCCTATGCACAACCAAACGTAACACTGCCCAGTCCTGTGCTATCCCGACAACTGTGTTAGGTGGATGTTTGCAACTGTTTATTTCCACTTTGAGTTGTGGCACGTGAGCAGTGGAAGGTCCTGATAGCTTTGCTCCATTCACATCATTAAGGTCAACTCAAATCCCAGTCATATTTTGCGTGCCTTCTAACCTGAAGGGCTCATCTTCGGGCACCATATCTGACAAGGTTCCACTGCTACTCATAAGGTTTTCAGTGGCTAACCATTCAGAAGTGGTCCTTCTCTCCTTCTTCCTAGTCTGTCTCTGCTGAAACCTGTCCACCATGGATGGCACCCTGCTGGTATTTAAATACTGGTGGCATAGCTTCCAGCGTCACAGCAACACACAAGCCACCACAGTCTGACAAACTGATAAACTAATGGTGATCTGTAAAAATTACATTAAAGAAAACTATGGGACAGTTCTACTCTGTCATATGGGATTGCTATGAGTCGGACTCTACCTGTTGACATACAACAATTCTGAGCACAATTAAACTTTAGGCGTTTCATTTTAAAGTGTCTCCGTTCTTTGGGAGGGTTGAGGAACAATGACAAGGGATTCATCTGTAATGCACTGTCTCCCCTTCCAAAAATCCATCTTTAACTTATTCATGCTTTACTAAATAAATAAATCTGAGTAGCTCCCACATACAATAGACTGTTATAACTCAAGGAAGGCAAAATGTGGATTACTTAATGCAAGGACTTTAGCGCATATAAGAAAAAAATAAGATAGACAGTTTTTAAAATTCTAAAGTGATTATAACTGGTAAATCAGAAGATTTGAATTAAATCTGTATAATTGTCAGGTTAGAACTATGGACAAAACAGCCATAGTTCCTGCCACCAGCAGCTTAGACTTGTGGGGAAGATAGTACAGAAATAAATAAATGGGTATTATTTCATTATTGTGTGAGACAGGCTACAAAGAACAGAATGTGCAAATATTACTTAAGAGGAGTTGGGGAATCTGTAGTTATACTCAACTGTGATATTTAAGTCTGTTGTTATTAACAGCCTTCGAGCCACCTCATAGCAACCCTGTATAGGGCTTCCAAGGAGTGGTTGGTGTGTTTGAACTGCCGGCCTTGTGGCTCAAACCAACCTTGTGGTCCAGCGCTTTATCCCACAGCACCATGAGTCTTTAAATCACAGTGACTCTACAGGACAGAGTAAAACTACGTCATAGTGTTTCAAAGGCTGTAACCTTTATAGAAGCAGACAGTCACAGCTTTATACTGAGGAGCAGCTGGTTGGTTCAAACAACTCTTCTGGCTTTAGCCTTATGACTATTTCATCTAACAGGACTACAATCAAGCATCTCTGAGAAAGTAAAAGAAGGCTAATGAGGCTGGTTCAAAGCAAGGTTGCTGACTTAGGCAGGAGCCAGATCATGTCCTTTTATAAGTCAAGAGGGAAGACTCTGAATGGTTTGAAACAGGGTAGTGATGGGCCTGAACCTGCAGCATTTGTATCATTACAGTTGCTATGTGCAATAAGAAATGGAGAGGAATAAAATGCAAACAGGACTTGTTGGTGATGGTGTACCGTGGAGTCGGTTCTGACTCATAGCGACCTTGTACAGGGTTTCCGAGGCTGTTAATCTTTATGGGAGCAGAAAGCCTCATCTTTCTCCTGTAGAACAGCTGGTAGTTTCAAACTGCTGACCTTGAGGTTCATGGCCCAATTTGCAACCAATACATTCCTAGGCAGGTACAATCTAGAGTACTGACAAGGGTTTTGTGAATTGCTGTAGATACGGAGATTGAGGGAACTGGAATGGACAAAGGTGACCCTTAGGTTCCTAGAAACAGTAATAATAAGATGGGGTCCAGGCTCCCACTTACTGAAACTGAGAGTATAAGAGGGAAGGGATAGGTCCAGATCTGAGTTTTGTAGATTCTGAAACGAATATTATGTTGAAGAGAAAAAGGGTACAAGATACAAATATATCCATATACATATTTCTTGGGACTCTTCCAGGCCCATGTTTAAAGAAACAAACTCAAAACTCAGTTGCTGTCCAGTCAGCTCTGACTCAAGGCAACTCCACAAGTGTCAAAGTAGAAGTGTGCTCCAATGGGTGATTGTTGGGAAGCAGACCACCAGACCTTCCTTCTGTAGGTGGACTAGAACCTCCAACCTTTTGATTAGCAGTCAAGCACATTCCATTATAGAGCTGTCACTGCCCCATAATTTGGGTAAGTAATTCATTTTCTAGCTATTTTAAATTATTAATAGTTAATTATTTCATATAAATTCTGAGTAAGATAATGATTTAAATAAAACATTCTAAAAGGACAGAATATTGCTTACTATAATATTAAAACTAAAAATTCCAACTACCAGAAATCTCATATTCGCCACAGAATAAGGATTCAACAATAACATATTTTGGTAATTAAAGATCTTGAAAATATAAAAAAGGAATATATAAACATGGAAGCCTCAGAGAAACATTTATTAGTTTCATTCATTCATAAAGAGATGATGGTTTCACGTCACTCACATGATTATTCTGGAGATTTTCCAGCAATGATGAATCACTAAATGTTTTTTCATCTCCTAGCTGTGAACTCTGCCTAGAGGAGAAAAAAAAATGGAGCAAAACTGTTTCATTTATACAAACACACTGACCTATGTTGATGTATGCGGAGAAGGGAGTTCCAAAGAGCTTCTGGGAAAATGAAACTAAAGACAATAGAAATGTTCTGTGAACTTTTTGCTTGTAAGCTCTTGATAAATTCAATGCAATTTGGCCCGCATTTCTAAATAAGACAAGATAGGCTTAGGTTTCATGGCTGAATTATTCAAAATGTACTAAATAATTCTAAAATGTGAGAATTCTTCAATGGAGTGAAAAGTGATAGGCCATTTTTCTAGAGTAAAATTCGATTATAGTCACATGAAGTTTTAAAAAATAAACTCAATCAAGGTAAGAAACGAAACTGCTAAAAGTAGCAAGAATTGGATTCCTTCTAGTTCTTTAATTTTTGCAGACTCTTGAATTTAATTAACTCATTAAAAAAAATTTCTGATTAGTTTTTACCTTAGACATGTAAGAAATCTTTAATTGTATGACTAACATTATACACATACGATTATCATACAAAGTAAATACATGAGAAGTAAAATTTTTACTTACATAAACATATCACTAAAACATCTCATTAAATATATATGTACATATCACATTTATTCTATGTAAAAAGGGAAAACTATGCCGAGTGTCAGATAATGGCAATCCAGAAGGTTTCTAATCCTAATAATTTTTACAAGTTAGAAAGAATAGTAACATCAATGCCCCAATGTGTTAAATATCAAGTTACAAACTTTAAAGACAACAGCTTGAACATAAAAAGAAATCACTTAGTAGGATTTGAAAAAATTAAACATATTCAGCACTTTCAATCAAATACAATTTTCCTAGAAATCAAAGAAGGATGACAAAATGTTTACGGTAGAATACATTTTATTTACATAGTCTAGCTTAGTTTATTAATTCTCAAAATTATAATACATCCTTATTAAAATAATCCGTGTTAAATTTCTTACAACATCTCTGGGAGGCATAATAAACACTACTTCTAATTTATTATTAAGAAGTTCTGGTAGCATAGTGGGTTATAAGTCAGGCTGCTAACTGTAAAGTCAGCAGTTTGAAATTACCATTCAACGGTTATTATTATTATTATTATTATTCCGGTAGTTTTAAAAACAGATGGAAAACTCAAGAAATTTCAAATGACTTATCAATAGGGCAAATCAAAACCGAGCATATATTTTTTCTCCAAATAGAACCACCTGGTTGTTGTTGTTGTTAAGTGCTGTCAAGTTGGTTCAGACTCACAGCAACCCTGTTTAAGGTTTCCGAGGAGTGGCTTGTGATCTTGAACTGCTGATCTTTTGAGTCAAACTGACCTTGCTCTCCAGTGTTTATCCTACAGTGCCAGCCCACTTCTTAAAAAACAGTTTATTATTTGGAGCTTAAATAATCTCTGTATTGTGCAATGTCTCTGTTTACAGTTCTCAGTTATATTTTACTAATTAATTTGTTATGTTGTGGTTTTTGTTAGGCACCATCAAGTTGGTTCCCACTCCCAGCAACCCTATGCAAAACAAAAAAAAACAAACAAAACAAAATCCTGCCCAGTCCTGCGCCACCCTCACCATTGCTGTTACGTTTGAGCCCATTGCTGTCGTCATTATGTGTGGATCTGAACTGCCTACTTTGTGGTTAGAACTCCAGTGCTTATCCTGCAGTGCCACCAAGGCTCCTAATTAATATAATTATCTTTATATATGAACCATGACATTGTTTATAAATGAACACTCCTATCAATAAGTACTCATCTGTAGAAAGGGAGGATGGGATAGATCCATAGTTGTTGTTACCTTAGGTCAGAACAAACCCTAGCTAGATCAAAGACATAATAAAAGTCCTAAAGTTATGGGCAAATCTAAAAAAGATGAGTAGGGAATGGGAACGGTCCTGTATGTCAGACATAATTCTGAAAATAAATCAAATCTGACTGCATAAAGCAAAATATTTCCACATACCAAAATACTATAAAGCTAACTCAAAAGCCACATGAAGAAAAAAAAAAAAATCTATCTGTCTAGATATGTATTTCGGATCATATAATTTTTCAGTTCATTTCCTTGAAAAAAAAAAAACAAAACTCAAACAAATAGTTAAGGAAAAGACCAAAAATGCAGGAGAAAAATGAGCAAAGGATAAAAATCAAGAGAAACACCAGTGGCTTTATGAGAGCACTTCAAACTGTGCCTGGAAAAATTCCAGTTTATCTTTTAATTCCCTTTTCCCACCAATTTTTGAAGCTCCATGTTCAACCTTATCTAATAAATGTGAGAAATAAAATTTAATTTATACACAAACTATCAATTTAGAAAAAAAAGATGATACCATTATGCTGTTATGTTTCTGTAATACATCACTGATAAGAATATAAATTGGTACGACTTCTAAAAAGGGTAACTGGGTAGTTTCTACAGAAGAAAGATGAAACTTTTTCTGCTCTTGTAAAAATATACAGGAACACTATTAGTAGTAACCAAATCCATAACACATAACTAACAAGCCAATTATATATTATTATTGGACTTCTGAAATGATGTGGGATGAGCACTAGACGACAAACCATAAAATGAGCAGTTCAAACCCATCTGCTCCTCAGAAACCCTAAACAGGGTTGCTATGAGTCGGAGTCTACTTGATGGCACTTAACAACAATAATTATCTAATTAATCCTTTGAAATACAGTCTGTGGACATTAAGATGACTGTATGATGATTGTAACTCTGGTATGATAAAGTGCTATTAGTAGCTGACAAATGAAATCATTCCCAACCAATGATTGTTGTTGTTAGGTACCACTGAGTTGGTACCTACTCATAGCGACCTTATGCATAACAGAATGAAACACTTCTGATCCTGGGCCAGTCTCACAATCGTTGCCACGCTTGAGTCCACTGATGCTGCCACTCTGATCATCCATATCTCTGGGGGTCTTACTTTTTTTCTCTGACCCTCCACCTTACCAAACATGATATTCTTCTCCAGTGACTGGACCCTCCTGACAATATGTCCAAAGTATGAGAGATTAAGTCTGGCCATCCTGGCCTCCAAGGAGCACTCTGGCTGCACTTCTTCCAACACAGATCTCTTGGTTCTTTTGGCAGCCCATGGCACTTTCAATATTCTCCTCCAACACCATAACTCAAAATTATCAATTCTACTACAGTCTTCCTTATTCACTGTCCAGGCTTTCGCATGCGTAATGAGGTTATCGAAAATACCATAGCTTTGGTCAGTCGCACCTTAGTCTTCAAGCTGACATCTTTACTCTTCAACACTTTAAAAAGGTCTTGTATAGCAGATTTGCCTAATGCAATACATTGTTTGATTTCTTGACTGCTGCTTCCATGAGTGTTGATGGTTTATCCAAGCAAAACGGAGTCATTGACAACTTGTCTTTTCTCCGTTGATTAGAATGTTGTTTATTGGTCCAGTGGTGAGGATTTTTGTTTCCTTTACATTGAGATGCAATCCATACTGAAGGCTATAGTCTTTGATCTTCATCAGCAGTATTTTAAGTCCTCTTCCCTTTCAGCAAGTAAGGTTGTATCATCTATGCTTCATAGAGACTTAAACCAAAATTGGTACCATTTTCTTGTTATTACAAACACATTTCACAGTACAGGTTAGCTCCTTTCGGTTAAGAATCTACCGTTCTCAAAATTAATAGTATTAATATTTTTGGAATTTGAAAATATATTTTCAGTAACCATTTCTTCTCATATCCTAAAATATTCTTATTCTGGTGACGTAGTGGCTTCCGTCAGCAGATCGAATCCATCAGTCACTCCTCAGAAGGAAAACAACTCCTTCTGCTCCTGTAAAGATTTGCAGCCTCGGAGACCCTTACAGCATCACTATGAGTTGGAACCAGGCTGCTGACCTTGAGGGTTAGCAGTCCAATTTGTAACTACTACGCTACCAGAGCCCCTTAATAATATACTAGGATTTTTTGTTATTGTTAAGTGCCGTAGAGTTGGTTCCGCCCCATAGCGACCTGTGTAGGGTTTCTGAGGAGCTGCTGGTGAGCCTGAACCACCAACTTTGCAGTTCAATCCGACTTTTCAGTCCAGTGCATTAACCCACAGCACCATTCTAGGACTCCTAATAATGTAATTGTTGTTGGTGTTGTAGTTAAGTACCATGGAGTCGGTTTCTGACTTACAGCGACCCTGCACAGGGTTTCTGAGGCTGCAAATCTTTACGGGAGCAGAAAGCCTCATCTTTCTCCTGCGGAACAGCTGGTAGTTTCGAACTGCTGACACTGAAGTTTGCAGTCCTATTCACAACCACTAAGCTACCAGAGCTCCTTAGAGACCTCTAAATCTAAATATGTAAAATCATCTACATGCATTTAAGTATTAACTATGTTATGTTTTAATAGACATTTTAAGATTTCTGTGACAAATACTGGTTCAGATAGGGCAGTAAAATATCTGAAAGCTCACGGATGTTACATATGGAATTTAATAGACTTCACACTGGAAGGTGAGGCTGCAGAGCAGCCAGATGGGAATGTATTTTCAGAAATAACTGGATTTATAGAGTCATCTACTCTCTCTTGTTTACCCCTGCAGACGGCAGCACAAAGATGTGGCCAGGTGCTGGGTTTTATTCAACCAGGATCACATTTATAAATTTGATTTCACTGACAACATGAAACCCATTGAGAGTCTGAGTGAATGTAAATTTACTGATGTTTAAAGCTGTACTAACTTTCTTCAAAGTCAGTTAAATTTTACATGTTTTGCTATCTCAATAAAACAATAAACAAACAAAAATAAAAAGGACTTCAAAACTGAAAAGCTAACTTGTGTTTTAAATGCAGACATTCTTTAAAATTCTTTAATGGCTGTAGGATATAGTGTAACAAAGATAAACTTGACGACCTGGTTAAGTTAGGTTTTTAACTCCGGCTTCCACGCTTTTTACATAGATTCTGACTCACAGCAACCCAATTGGACTCCATGGAAAATGCCCTGTAGGGTTTTCAAGGCGGTTATATTTATATTTACAGCGGAATCCGGTGTGGAGCTGTAGGATAAACACTGAACTTCTAACCGAGAGGTTGGTGGTCCAAACCCACCAGGCACTCCTCAGAAACCCTATACGGGTTGCTGTGAGTCTGAATTGACTACACTGCACTTAACCACAACAATGTTTACAGAAACCAACCACCACATCTTTCTCCGGCAGAGCAGCTGGTGGATTTGAACAGCTGACTTTTCCTTTAGCAGACAAGCACTTAACCAGTGTGCTACCTGGGTTCCTGAACTTATTATTTATATCATTTGGAGGCAAATTACTTCATAGTTTCCTTGCCTAAATTTCACTGCCTTTAAAATGGCAACGTCCATAACAATTCCTCAAATATTTCATGGTATTTGTGAGAGACAGCATAGCGAACACTCTCTGGAAGCCTACTTTGTCCAGGCACTATCAGAAAGACTTCAAAAATTGGAGCTCATTCAAATCTTTCCAACCTCACCATGATGCTACTGCTATTACCAACTTCCTACTAGATGACAGCACTCAGGCAGAAAGACAAGATAACCAACCAGAACCCAAACTCAGAGTCCAAAGTCCACATTCTTGATCACGGTACAAACTCAAGAAGCACATGCTCTTTCTTCCTTGTATCCCTACAGACAGCTAGCCTATAGATGGAGACTTAAAGTATACATGCAAAATAAAGCTCAAATTACTATAAAGTTGTTACTCTGGTAGTGTAGTGGTTATGAGTCAGGCTGCTAACCTCAAGGTCAGCAGTTTGACACTACCAGCCTTTCTGCAGGAGAAAGATGAAGTTTTCTGCTCCCGTAAAGATTTACAGCCTCGAAAACTCTATGCTGGCTCGCTGAGTTAGAACCAACTCCATGGCACACCACCATCATCACCACCACCAACATTAGCTTAAACAATGGAAAATGGAGTATTTTAAATGATCTCAGTAAAACACCAATTCTAACATTTTCATCCAATCTTAAGAAAAACAGGGTGAAGGCAAATCAATTCTTTACTAATGAAATGTGTTTACAATGAAAAGAATTAATGGTACAGAAAAACAAATAAAATGTTGGTCAAAATTTAAACTACATTCTCAAAGGATTAAATAAAGGAAAAGATTCACATCATTAATCTGGAATTATCTACTAACAGTAAGATGCTCTGGAACTTTTAAAGAATACTAAAAATGATTCAGTTGTGTGTAGGCGTCAAAATGTATGGCACTCCAAGTGGTGCGCTTACAATGAGATAACTCCTCAGCTGTCAACACGAACCACACAGCTGCCACTGTTATGATGACCCCTAAGTATTATGTGGTTCACTGCAAAGTATTACCAAATCTCCACTTTCCTAAGATAAATTCCAGGTTGAAAAATATTAAATAATGTTACTGGATTTCAATGCATATTGGAAATGTGGCTTAATATACATGTAATCTGAAAATAAAAAATGTTAACAATTTAAAGTTACAATGCTTTCTAGAGCATTAAAGTAACTTTATTTTCTGAAATTTCATTTACCAATAAATCATGATGAATGATAGAAATAATATAAAATCATACTAGATGAAAATGTAAATCCCCAATTACTGTTGTTAGGTACTATCAAGTTGATTATCACTCACAGCAAGCTTCCCTGTACAACAGAATGAAACACTGCCTGGTCCTGGGCCAGCCTCACATCATTGCTATGTTTGAGTCCAATGCTGCAACCACAGTGTCAATCCATCTCATTGAGGATCTTCCTCTTTTTTGCTGACCCTCTACTCTATTTTACCACGCATGTTGTCCTTCTCCAGGGACTAGAGCCTTCTGATAAGATGCCCAAAGTACATGAGATGAAGCCTCGCTACCCTTCTACTAAAGAACAATTTGGTTTTAATTCTTCCAAGACTGATTTGTTCAGTCTATAGTGCAGTTGATATTCTTTGCCAATACCATAATTCAAAGGCATCAATTCTTTAATTTTCCTTATTCAATGTCCAGCTTTTGCATGCAAATGAGGCCATTTAAAATGCCATGGCTTGGGTTAGACACATCTTAGTCCTGAAAGTGACATCTTTGCTTTTTAACACTTTAAACAGGTTTTCATATCAGATTTGCCCAATGCAATATGCCATTTGATTTCTTCACTGCTGCTTCCATCAATGTTGACTACTGATCCAAGTAAAATTAAATCCTTGACAATTTCAATAATTCTTCATTTACCGTCATGTTGCTTATTGGTCTGGTTGAAAGAATTTTTGTTTTCTTGATGTTGAGGTGTAATCCTCCTACTGGAATCTGCAGTCTTTGATCTTCATCAGTAAGTGCTTCAAGTCTTCCCCACTTTCAATAAGCAAGGTTGTGTCATCTGGATATCACAGATTATTAATGAAACTTCCCTCAATATTGATGTCACATTCTTCTTTATATAATCCAGCATCTTGGATTATTTGATCAGCATACAGACTGAATAAGTATGATAAAGGATACATCCTTGACACAAACTTTTCCTGATTTAAATTAAAACCATTCAGTATCCCCTTGTTCTTTTCAAATACCTGTCTCTTAGTCTTTGTACAGGTTCACAGAAGCACAATTAAGTGCTTTGTAATTCCCATTATTCACAATGTTAGCCATAAATAGCAATGACTTTGCATAGTCAATAAAACACAGGCAAGCTCAGGTGTTTCCTGCTTTCAGACAAGATCTATTTGACATCAGTAATGATAACCTTGTTCTAAGAGTTCACATTACACCTAAAAATATTGTTGCTATTAATTGCCATTGAGTCAGTTCTGACTCATAGCAATCCTGGAATCCCTGGTTTCCAAGGAGTGAGTTTGTGGTTAACAGTCCAGTGCTTATCTTACAGCACTACACCAGGACTTCTGTTGTTGTTATTGCCGTTAAGTGCCATCGAGTCAGTTCTGATTCATAGTGGCCCTGTAAAGGGTTTCAGAGGAGCAGCTGGCTACATTTGAACTGCTGACATTGTGGTTCACAGTCCAGTAAAATGCACCATATTCCATTTGACTGTAGTCCTTGGTAGCATAGTCTTCAAATTTTATCACAGACTTTTTTAAAAAGTTCACGTCTGAGTTTCCACATAGATTTATTAAACTGATGAAAAGAAATGTAAAGGGAAATTTCCACTGGTAGGTGTCTTTCAGCACTATTTTTCTGTAGCTTTGTAGAGTGTATAAACAGTGACAGAAGGTGGCAGTGCTGAGCTAAAAACAGGAAACGCTCAGGAGCTATATGCAAAACCCTTTAGGTGCCCTGGTAGCGAAGTGGTTACGATTTGGGCTGCGAAATTTAACATCAGCAGTTCGAAACTACCAGCCGCTCCACGGGAGAAAGATGAGGCTTTCTGCTCCAGTAAAGATTTACAGTCTCAGAAACCCTGTACAGGGTCGCTATGGGTCGGAACCAACTCGACGGCACTTAACAACAACAACAACAACAGGAATTCTGGTGTGGCACTGCAGGATCAGCACTGTACTGTGAATCACAAGTTCAAATCCACCAGTTGCTTTTCAGAAACTCTATACAGGGTCACTACAAGTCAGAACTGACTCAAAGGCACTCAGTAACAAAAAAACAACAACTTAGTAGTCATGGTGTGGGGATGCAGGAAGAGCATTTGACAACACTAGGACAGTTTGAACCACAAGGTCAGTGGTTCAAATTCACCAGCCACTCCTTAGAAACCCTGTACAGAGTTACTATGAGTCAGAACCAACTCGATGGCACTTAATAACAACCACCACCACATGCTGGTCCACACAGTCCAGGGACTCTGGAGT